AGACTAGGGTTGGGGAAGCAAAATGGGGTGCTGGGGACCCCGACTGCCTCCAGCTGGGATGTCTGAGGCAGGAGGGGCACAGCATCCCCATCACCCCTCCCCCAAATCTGGAGGAGGCAGCGAAGATGGGCTGATGGGACCCCAAAACACCTCCAGAACCACGTAGAAAGGGGGGGGGTGTCACCCACTCAGCCCCAAACCTCAGACCTCCAAGCCACCCCACCCCAGCACGGGGGTCTTACCCGAGACGGAGACCCTCATGACGGCCTCCAGCGGGCGGTTGTTGTCCAGGGCGGGGCTGAGGCGCAGGTCCCCGCTGCGGGGGTCCAGCAGCACCAGGTTGAGCTCGTTGCCCTGCTCGAAGGCGTAGGTGAGGCTGTCGGAGACGTCGGGGTCGTAGGCCGGAATGCGGCCGATGACCCCCCCGGGGAAACTGCCCGAGCGGTTGGTGATGTAGTTGTTGAAGAGGATCTCAAAGTTCTTGAGTTGGGGGCTGTTGTCGTTGGCGTCGCGAAGGCGGACGTGGACGGTGGCCCGGCTGACCAGGGGGGCCGAGGTGGCTTGGACCACCATGACGTACTCGGCCTTGGACTCGTAGTCCAGGTCGGCCAAGGCGGTGAGCTCGCCAGAGAAGATATCCAGCTGGAAGACCTCAGGGATGTTGCCCTCCACGATCTGGTACATAATTTGGGCGTTGGTGCCCTCGTCGGGGTCGGTGGCCGTGATCCGGGCCACCACCAGCCCGATGGGGCTGTTCTCCTCCACGAAGATGTCGAACTCGTCCCGCTCGAAGACGGGCGGGTTGTCGTTGACATCCAGCACCGTCACTTGGATCTCCACCGGCGTCCGCTTGGCCGGGATCCCCTTATCGACAGCGAAGGCCCTCAGGGAGTAGAGCGGCACGTTCTCCCGGTCCAGGCGGCGCAAGGTGCGGACGATGCCCGAGGTGGACTCGATGATGAAGTCGCCGTCCCCATCATCGCCCCCTTGGAAGGTGTAGAAGACCCTGCCGTTGAGCCCCGAGTCACGGTCGGTGGCAGAGACCTGGAGGACACTGGTGAAGGCGGGGACGTCCTCGTAGACGGAGCCCTGATAGGAGTCACGGAGGAACTGGGGCGCGTTGTCGTTGACGTCGCTCACCAGGATCTCCAGGTAGGTGGTGTCGGACTTCTGTGGGATGCCGTTGTCACGCGCCGTGATGGCCAGGGTGTAGGACACCTGGTCCTCGTAGTCCAGCTCCATCTGGGTGGTGACGGCCCCCGTCTCGGGGGCGATGCGGAACTGGGGGATGCTGTCCTCCATCAGGTAGGTGATGCGGGCGTTCTCCCCCGTGTCCTCATCCGTGGCGCTGATGACCACCACCGTGGTGCCCACCGGCCGGTCCTCATTGACGTTGACGGTGTAGTGGGAGCTCTGGAAGACAGGTCGGTGGGTGTTGGCGTCGGTGACGTTGACGACCACCTGGGCCGTGTCCTGGCGGGTGCCGTCGGAGGCGGCGATGGTGAGGAGGTACTGCCGCTCCAGCTTGTAGTCCAGGGGCAGGGCGAGGGAGATGAGCCCGCCGCCGCTCTGGCTGGGGATGGAGAAGCGGTTGCGGGGGGTTGCGC